TCGCACAAGCCCTGTCGGTGCTGTGTGTCGGGTACAAATTGTATAAGTTTGTCCTTTTCTATCTCATGTTAACGTACCCGACACACAGCACCGACAGGGCTTGTGCGAGCAACTTTAAGTTGCTCGCACAAGCCCTTTCGGTGCTGTGTGTCGGGTACAGTGCCGGATACGTTAACATGAGATAGAAAAGGACAAACTTATACAATTTGTACCCGACACACAGCACCGACAGGGCTTGTGCGAGCAACTTTATGGTACAGTCACAGCTAGGCTGCCTGCGCAGGCAGCAATTGGAGTGAAGGAGATAGACAATTAGAGTAAAAAAGAAAGAAAATATTTTTGTCCTCCTTTCTTTCATTGCTGCCTGCGCAGGCAGCCGAGCTGTGACTGTACCATTAGGACAAACCGTATGGAAGGGGAGAGAGAGAATTACGCGTTGATCTGTTCTTTCTCTCTAGTCGCAGTTTTCACATGTAGTACGGATTTCTATATCATTTTATTCACTTCTTGGTTTGACGGTTCGACCCAAGCAAAAGTAAATCATTAAAGAACAAATAAGCCAGCCAGTTAACATGTATATCATAGTTCGTTAAATTTTTTCTGAAATATATCTTACAATTAGTGAAAAATTATTTTCAAGGTGACAAAAAATTGTGTATACACAATTTAACTGAAAATGTCAGTTAAGAAAATTAACTTTGCATATGCAATTTTCGCTAACGGCGAAAAGAGAAATGTGCCCGTGTCATCTATAGAAAATTTCTTGCCGAAAAATCAGACAGATTTTATAAAAAGAAAAAAATATAAAATTTGGTCCCTTGGGAATAAAGGGCCTAATGATTGTTTACGCAATGGTTACATTCTACTATTAGGAGGTAAGTAAATATAAATGGTATCATCCTACATTTATGCTAAGTTTCTCACACGCAAAATGGCGGACGCTATCTTATTATTGGATTTTTGTGCATATGAATTATATATTTATATAATTTATACATGTATAGGTTTATATATTCAAAATAATTTTTCAATACAGTGCCGTCCAGAAATATCACAACGCCTTTTTTCATGATTAAAAAAGCTTCTCTTTTTTTTCCTGAAAGCTGGTGAAATTGTGAAAATAATGATAATGAATCGAAGATGATTCGTTAAGTTTAATGTGAGATACATAAAAAAATGTCGATTTTCCATGCTTTTCTTACTTTTAATTTCTCGGAAAATAATTAATGTTTTTTAACGTTTTTGGTCTCATTTTAACCGTTATTTAATGCAAAATTTAAATAATTTGTTGGTATTTTGATATTTATTTTTACAAAAGTATTTGAAAGCGTGAAAGTTGGATAAAAAAAATTCAAAAAATCATCGTGAGTATTAAAGTGCCAAAAATGACAATATAAAATATATACATTTAATATATATGCTTTAAAATTTTCTTGAAAATTTTTTGATTATTTATTTATTTGAATTTTAAAAGTTATTTATTATTTTGAAAATGTGCCTTTTTATTTTCCGAATTTTTTTATACCATACTTTCACGCTTTCAATTTTTTGGGAAAAATAAATATCAAAATACCAACAGATTATTTAAAATTTTCATTAAATAGCGGTTAAAATGAGATCAAGAAAGTTAAAAAAGATTAATTAGTTTTCGAGAAATTAAAAAAATAAAACAGCATGCAAAATCGACATTTTCTGAAGTTTAATTTATCTTTGTTTTTAAGTAAACTACAAGTCAGCAAAGTATGACGTGTAAACGCATGAGGCCTGGATCACTTCACGTGAAATCCCTCATAAATAAAAAGTATAATAGCTATTTTGAACAATTCATTCTGAGCACAAATGTTATTTTTTATTTTTTGCAATTAAACTTTCATAGATGTCAAAATAGTGAAACTCAAACCAGGGATTACAGTTTGTCTCTTTTTTCTCCTTAAATAAAATTTTTCTCCCCTCTTCCCCTTTTTCAGGAAATATAATTTTTATCTTATGTAAACGTGAAAATTATGATTTATTTTTTTTGATAAGTGTTTTTGTGCAAGTTTAAATTATTTTCACAAATAATAAAATTTTTTATGGGAATTCTACTATTAAACAAAAATATGAATAAAGTTCTTCTCAAGAATTAAATTAATTTCATAAATATTAAATTTCTTTTCACAAATTCAATTATTTTTAAAACTTTAATAAAATTCATTCATCACTGGATTTCAATTTTTTTAAATATAATTTTAACTGAATTCCTCGAAAAATACAACTGTTCTTAAAAATGTTATTAAAATTATTTGAAAGAATTCAATTATATTAGAAATTTTTTATAAAATTCTTTATAAGAATGCATTTTTAAGAGATATTCAATCAATTATTTATTTTTGTATTCAAATAATTATTGAATTCACATAAATTTTCTAAAAAGAATTCAATTTAAAAATAAATTTCAGTTACAATTTTACATAATAATTTAATATTAAAAGCTTTATGAATGAATTTTTAGAAATTACTAAATTTTAAAATAATTTTAAATTGAAATCATTAAAATTTTATTTGTTACAAAACTGTAGTGATATTTAAAGTTTTACTTTGAATTATTAATTTATTAATTAATTAATTTTTTTATTTATCTAAAATCTCCCTACCTTATGTCAACGATTTTTATGAAAAGACTTCTTCTCTTTTGCGTCAAAATAATATAATAGCAATTCCACGTATTTGTAATAATAACAATCATATAATTAAAGGAAAAGATCGAACAAAAAAATGTGACAAAATGAACTGTGTCTATAAACTTAAATGTAAAGATTGTAATGCGTGCTATATTGGTGAATCAAAGAGAATGTTAAAAAAGCGAATAAGCGAACATAAAAGATCTAAAACAAATGTAATTGCGAAACACAAAGACACCCTTAACCATAACTTTGACAACTTTAATATTCTTGACAATGAACCTGTTTGGCAGATGAGACTGATTTCTGAAATGATTCACGAAAATTTACAAAATAAACCATTAAATAAAAAAGATGATACAAAAAATCTTAACAAATTTTTCAAAAACTTTTTTAAAAAATTATAACATCAGATTTTTCACAAAGAATAATACAATTTCATTTATTGAATAAATTTAGTAATCATTTTGTTAATAGTATGACTATATATATGTGTATGTGTATATATGGGAATATGCTAAATGTCCATCTTCGCTATTTCTCTTCTATTTTCGTGAAAGTTCATTGACTTCCTATAACTTATATTTATTGCTTTTATATTGTTAGTTTTGTCAGTTGATCGTGGTCTGTCCAAACGTTGACCACAGACAATTTTTCTTTCAAAACTTTTGCGGTAAAGAAAATTTTAATTATTTTTTTAATATACAATTTTTGAAATTTTTATTAATTAATAAATAAAATTTTTTTAATAGTTTCTGATGAGGGCGGTCGTACCGTCGAAACGTCAAATAAAATGTAGTGTTTTTTTATTTTAACACTTTGACTTGGAAGATTGATAAATTCATACCATATATTTGTCTCAATTTTTTACCAAGTGCGGGGTCCTTTCATTAACTTTCAGGGAAGAAGTATATGAAACTCGAAATGAATCGAAACCTCGAATGAGAGTGACATGCGCATAAGTAACGCGCGGTTATTTAAAATTTAGAAAAGAAAAGAAATGTTAATTAAACAAAAAAATTAAATAAAATAAAAAATTTTTTATTAAATAAAACCAAAACGCAAGAATGTAAAATTGTTTTTATAAATTTTTAGTTTTGGAAGAATTGAATGGCATGAAAGGAAGCAAAGGAGACGGCCGCTTGCGGCCGTCGACTGCGCTAGTGTTATAACTTAACAATATTTTTTATTTTAGCTGATGAAAACGATATCAATGAACAAAAAATTTCAAAACGTTTACAAATACCAAGTCAAAGAAATTTGAGTTTTTCATCTTCATCAGAGTCTGAAAAAAAGAAGAAAAAACAGGTAAAAATATTTTAAACATTTATAATTACATTTTTTGCATACTGCTTTAAGAAACTTTTTATTTTCAATATATGTTTTAGTACTTTATTTTACCTTTTACTTTGTTCCTAAATTTTCAAACGTTCAAATAAATGAATTTATTTATGATTTATTTATTTATTCATTTATTTATGATTTACTTTTTTTACCGCCTGTTAAAAGAAAACTCAAATTTCCATCCGACGCCGCAAAAAATCACGCAAATGAAAAGATTTTTAAAAACCGATTGGAATTAATTAAAAATCGGAAACTTATTCAAGAATCTGACGACGATAATTCAGACGTAACTATTGAAAGTGTTGATTCAGTGCCGTCTCTTCCTGGTTCTAAAGGTATATGTTTTTCTGATAGGCAAATGAGTTCATGCCAATAATTTAAAAAAATGTAAAAGTAATATTTCAATTAATTTAAAAACATTATTTTTATTTTTAAATAAAATTTTTTAACAAATTGTGATTTCTACAAATATATTAATTAAGAATTTTTTACGCTGAAATATGTAATTCATAAAATTTAAAACAATTGCTAAATTAACAAATTCATCTTATAAATTTTTTATTTCACCTTTAAGTATTTTTAGTAAGGCCAAACATAGTTTCATTACTTATAAATAAATAAATTTATCAATTGATTAATTACTTTACTATCAATAGTTCTACTACATTGTTTACTATATGAAATACCTATATACACTGAGAAAAAAATGCTATTGAATCTATAGCACGCATATTCACATACGTTCAAAAGTAGATGTAAATAACTTGACACGATATATAGTTCATTTCATGGCACTGCTATTGAATCAAAACAGACAGTTTCTGTTTCAATAGCATAGCTATAAAATGAACTACATATCGCATCAAGTTAAACCTATTTGCTTTTGAATGTAGGCGCATTTGCGTGCTATAGATTTAATAGCATTTTTTTCTCAGTGTATATAGAACTGATAATAATGAAATTTTCAATATTTTACGATATGCAGGATCAAAATCAATGAAAAGGCAACGTATTATTGAGGAAACAGAAAATGAAAGTTCTGAAATAAATGATGGTAAGAATAATGAGTCTTTCGCCTTCTTCATTGTCTTTAGGTTCATGATTTTAACTTATTAATTAAAATATGTTAAAATTTTTAATGAGTCTACGTACGAATGTAAAGTAAAAAAAAGTGCACATCTAATGACAAGCTTTATTTATTTAAAAAAATTTTAAATATATACATAAATGTATATTTTAATTCTTTTTAACCTTTGAAACAATTAACGAAATAGTCAAAATATTTTACAATATTGTGTATGCTCTTCAAAAATTTAATTTTAAATTAAATATGTTTAGAAAAATAAATAATCACATTACAAAATTAATGCGTTACATCAGTATGTTTTCAGTAAATTAAACGTGAATACTTAAACACCGATTTGCGCACTAACGTTTTACAGGAAATTTAATATACAGCGCCGTCCATAAGTATCAGGTCACCCCTTTTTTATGAGTAAAAAAAAGCTTAAAACGTAGAAAATGAAAACATCAAAAAAATTTTTCTAATTTTTTCCTGAAAGCTGATGAAATTGTGAAATGAATGGCACCAAATCGAAGATGTTTCGTTAAGTTTTATACATTTATTTGATATATAAAAAAATTTCGATTTTTCACAATTTTCTTAATTTTTAAATTTCTGGGAAACTAATTAAAGTTTTTTAATGTTCTTGGTCTTTTTTTAACCGATATTTAATGCAAACTTTAAATAATGTAATGCTATTTTGATATTTATTTTTCCAAAAAAATTCAAAAAATTATCCTTAGAATTAGAGTATCCAAAATTACAATATAGAATATGTTCATTTAATAGGTACATTAAAATTTGTAAAAACTCTTTGATTATTTATTTATTTGTATTTTAAAAATTATTTATTTGTTGGAATAGTGCCTTTTTAATTTCTGAATTATTTTGATGTCGCTTTCACGACTTCAAATTTTTTTGTAAAAATAAATATCAAAATACCAGCAAATTATATAAATTTTGCATTAAATAACGATTAAAATGAGACCAAGAACGTTAAAAAACATTAATAGTAAAAAGAATAAGAAAACAATGCAAAATAGACATTTTTTTACATATCTCACATAAAACTTAACGAAACATCTTCGATTCAGTGCCATTCTTTTCATAGTTTCATCAGCTTTCAGGAAAAAAATGAGAAAAATTTTTATTGTTTACATTTTCTACGTTATAAGCTTTTTTTTTTGCTCATGAAAAAGGGGCATCCTGATACCCACGAACGGTACTGTATTTAACTTTTTTTATTACTGTTCTACTTCATGAAAATCCTATTTCGATAGATAATGTTGAAAGCAGGGACTGTCACCGAAACGAAATAAAATAAAGAAATTATTTCGTTTCGTTTCGTCATAAAGAAACATAATCAAGACTTGCAACTATTTCGATTTTCGTTTTTCAAACAAATCAAATTTTATTTTCTATCTTGTTTCAATTTTAAACTTAAATAAACCTAATTATATTTTTTTATTGATAAAGACGAAATTATTTTAAATATATACAGTTTTTATAAAAAAGAATAATCAGATTTTTTAATTAAATTTATTTTTGAATTGGGGTCAAAATAAAAGTTAAGAATAGAAAAAATATAATTCAAATATAACCTTATTCATCCTGGGATAGGACTGTTTGACTTTAAAAGATGTACAAAACTATTCAAATTTTATTGTTATATGCGGCATTTATTTATTTTTTTCAATCATTTTTAAAAGTCAATTTCTTATTTTAACTAAAACGATAAAAAATAGAACGAAAATATATAAATAAGTAAATAAATGTAAATAGAAAATAAAAGAAGAAAAGTATCATTCCTTATTATAAAAGAACTTCATCAGATGACAATAATTAAATAGATGAATTTTAATTTTTACGTAAATTAAAAAAATATTTGAATTAACTTAATTAATTTTTTTATATTTCTATTCATAAAGATTACGTATAATCAAATGCGAAGAGATTTTTTATGTTTAAAAACGAAACAAAAAACAAAACGACTTTTATTTTACCTTAAAATTGAAAATTGAAAGAACCGAAATCTTTGATTACGTTGATATACGAAAACGAAAATATTTGAAGGTTTCGCTTCGCTTTGTAAAAAAGGAAACGAAACTAGAGTTTCGTAACCGTCCCTGGTTGAGAGTCATGAATGACCCCTTTCTTCTCTCATAGATTCAGACACAATTGACCAAGTGGATGATACTCCTCCGCGATCACGATTGCGTAAACTCTCTCCTTCAAGATATACATCTTCAGGTGTTGGAAATGAAGTGCCTGACGCATCAAACAGTAGTAAGTTTTACAGTGTAATAATAATTTCTGTTTTTCAGTATAATAAAAATATTTCTGATAAAAATAAATAATTTAAAAATATAGTTTACATTCCAAAGAAGTTAAAATTCAAGGAATTACATATGGTGTAAAAGAAAATTGTTGTACACAAAATTAGTTCAAAATTAATTCATATTTAAAGAATATAATTTTATTATCTTATTTATTTATTTTTTTTGTAAAAGTTTACCTGATCCGAAGATATTTCTGAAATTTTAACTTACACGAATCACTTTATATATTTAATTACAAAATTTACACAACTATTTCTCGTAATTTAATGGTCTTGAATATGACATTTCAATTAGTGTATGTAGAATAATTAATAATTATATTTGTCAGGATTGCAGTTGACCCCGAATTCGAATGCACATAATGGAACGCCAAAAAATACTCGTCGATTGCCGACCCCGAATTCGAATGCACACAATGGAACGCCAAGAAATACTCGTCGAGGGCAGACTCCGAATTCGAATGCACACAATGGAACGCCAACAAATACTCGTCGAGGGCAGACTCCGAATTCGAATGCACACAATGGAACGCCAACAAATACTCGTCGAGGGCAGACTCCGAATTCGAATGCACACAATGGAACGCCAAGAAATACTCGTCAAGTGCAGACCCCGAATTCAAGACATACTCGTCGAGTGCATGACCCAAATCGAAATGCACACAATGGAACACCAAGAAATACTCATCGAGTGCAGACCCCGAATTCGAATGCACACAATGGAACGCCAAGAAATACTCGTCGAGTGCAGACCCCGAATTCGAATGCACACAATGGAACGCCAAGAAATACTCGTCGAGGGCAGACTCCGAATTCGAATGCACACAATGGAACGCCAAGAAATACTCGTCAAGTGCAGACCCCGAATTCAAGACATACTCGTCGAGTGCATGACCCAAATCGAAATGCACACAATGGAACACCAAGAAATACTCATCGAGTGCAGACCCCGAATTCGAATGCACACAATGGAACGCCAAGAAATACTCGTCGAGTGCAGACCCCGAATTCGAATGCACACAATGGAACGCCAAGAAATACTCGTCGAGGGCAGACTCCGAATTCGAATGCACACAATGGAACGCCAAGAAATACTCATCGAGTGCAGACCCCGAATTCAAGACATACTCGTCGAGTGCATGACCCAAATCGAAATGCACACAATGGAACACCAAGAAATTGTCGTCGAATACATGCTGTCAATCAAAACGCACACAATGCAATTGAAGGCCTACGACGTCACATCACTATCGAAAATGAAGATGTATGTATATAGTGTGCGTGAGATTATATTAAAAGCTTGACTAAATATGTAAACTTTAAATTATTTTCTGTTTATAAACTACAAAATTAATTTCCTTGCAGGTGTATATGGATGAAAATGTACATACAAACCTTGAAACATGGGAAATGATCAATCTAAGAAAAAATGATTCAAAATTTGTTAAGGATATGGCAGTTGTTATCTGGAAAAAGGAAGTACTTCAAACAAAGTGTTTGAATCCACAAAGAGCCAATAGAAATGTTACTGAGGCAGAAGTTAGGCAAGCAGTGACACCATCAAAATACCAATTATTAAAAGGTATCTATATATTCTCGATACAATATTAAATTAAAAATTAAACTAAGCGACTCCGCAAGAAATTAACCTCTATTCGGAACAATTTCACCAATTCACTTGAAACTTATTATAATTATTACTATACAATTTAAGAAAATTGTAAAAGAAATAGTCTTTACTTCTTTTCGGCACTTCGAAACCACCAGTAATTGTTATAGAATACACTGATACACCTTAAACAATATAAATTTATATGACATGAAATTTAACATTTCCCATGTTACACTGCATTTGTAATTTTGTAATTATATTCATTTCAGATTTGCTGCACGATAAATTAACCAGATTAGGCGTAAAAGGCTCCAGTAGGTTAAGACGAGTTAATAAAGTATGGAGATATTTATCACAAAAAATTTATTACGAACATTCTGTCTTTAAAAAATCACAAATTTCTTAAACGGTGACCTCTTACTATTTTTTGTTTACGATTGTTCTAACAATTTCTTAACTATTAGTTACCTGCAACTTGCATGGCACGTTTTGAAGGCTTTTTTAGTCATTGAATTTTTCAAAAGTTTATGAAAAATTAAAAAAAAAGAATATTTAAAAAATCACAAATTTCTTAAACGGTGACCTCTTACTATTTTTTGTTTACGATTTTTCTAACAATTTCTTAACTATTAGTTCTTTTCAACACAATATATATTTTTGTTAAGCAATACCTGCAACTTGCATGGCACGTTTTGCAGGCTTTTTTAGTCATTGAATTTTTCAAAAGTTCATGAAAAATTAAAAAAAAAGAATATTTAAACATTCTAAAACATATTGTGTAACGTATTTAACTTTGTAATAAAATTGTTAATTATTGTATATGCTGCTTTTTTATTTTACAATATAAAGTGTTTAAAAACTGTTTTTCACTTTCCAGATGGAAAGAATTCTTGAAAAACTTCGGAAACCACAAATAAAATGAAAACAAATTTAAAAAAAATTGGCGTAAAAATTGACGTAAAAAATGACGTAATTTTTTATCCCAAAAAATTACGTCATTTTTTACGTCATTTTTTACAATAGGGTGGGCCAAAGTAGAGGTCTACAATTTGTAAGGTTTTGCGGTACCTTATGTAGAGCCGCTCCTGACAGTCAAAAATCAAAACACAGTGGACATACCCAGTAGACTAATGTCATGGAATTAAAAAAATTATAAAAAAAACAAACAGGCGTCCCTTTAAAATCAAAATTTAAAAAAATCACTCTTTTGTACACTTTTTGGCTATAAAAAAATAGAAAAAATTTAATTTTTAAAACTTTGATAATTAGTCCACTGAAGAATATGTTTTTTAACAAGATGCAAAAAAGAAAAGCTTAAAATCTTGTTTCGATTTTTTGCTACAGGGGTTACCGTTTTTAAAAGCGCTGTTTTGAGAAAAACGAGCTTAATGTTTATGTTTACATCTTTATGTTCTAGTTTTTGTGCACGGAGAGAAAAATCTGCCTTTTATAGTATAGAAAGGTTTACATTTAATGCACAGAAATTTTCTATGCTATATAGACATGAAATTTGAGTAATTATAGTACAATCGTATGTCTTTTTAGCATGAAACTTGTCTATGCTAAAAAAGTTTGTCATATAGCCTCTTATTACATACTTATTATACTTTTAATCCAACGGCGCCATGCGAAGATCGCACATAACATCATCCTACTATGTTTGCATAAGTTCTATGCTTTTTCGGGGATAGACTCTTGCAACTGGCGATTAGGCATTTGTGTGAGTATTCACACAGTTACTTCCAATTCAGTAAAGGTGGGCGTGGCCTAATCGCCAGTTGCAAGAGTCTATCCCCGAAAAAGCATAGAACTTATGCAAACATAGTAGGATGATGTTATGTGCGATCTTCGCATGGCGTTGTTGCTATTAAACTACATGTTTCGTACTATAGAAGCATATATACTATGCTTTTTTAGTAAGGACAAATACTATCCTAAAAATTCTCAAATCTTTGCTCTATTAGTATGAAAAGTTTAAAGAAAAATAGCAGCAATCTATTTCATACTATAAAAGGCAGATTTTTCTCTCCGTGTGTACATGCAGGTATATATTCGTGTATAACTTTTTTAAAATGCGAATTTTTTCATAACATTTTACACGTGTTTTTTTGATATTATAGAGATTTAAAAAATCGACAAAATTTTTTTTTCAAACGCAAGTACGCCTTAAGATTAAATTCATTCCTTCACATAGCTGAAAATATCGTCCCAGTCGCTCCTTGAAAATAAATTACAAAAATTCTATTTACCTATTTGGACGCCCCCTGTCGATAAACTATTTATTCGGTGTCGCTAAATCCAAATTTGAGGTCAGATTTAAAATATTTAAAATGGCGGACTCAATATGGCGGATAAAATTAAAATTGATTCAATTCGTTTAAAATTCGGTATTTCTATAAGAATTGTAGAGAAATTCAAGACAACTTCCTAAACTCACTACAGAAAGTCTTGAACTTGTTTAAGAATAAATTATTACGTTCGCGAGAAAAAAAAATTTACTCTTTGAGGACTTGATCCCACGACCTCGAGAGTCCAAAACCTCCGCTTTACATCTTTCAGCTTCTTTAGAAGCTTATGGTATTATGCATTGGAAACATATTTGATGCAACCAATCCCTGCCTAGTGCTTGGTTACTGTACAATTATTTTTGTATTTTTCTGTAAATTTTGCAGAATTTTTCTCGCGTCCTCAGTTCCTGAACAAATTCAGGAATGATTCTTGAACAAAGTTTTTCCGTGTAATTCATATTTAGACCAAAACTATTTTTTTCTACATTTCATGCATATTTTAAAAATAAATTTTGTATAATATCCCATTTTTAAATTTAATTATTTCTATTACAAAAAGTATTTAAAACTTAACATAATCCTGAAATTTATTTAACTAACATTCATTTCACGAATTGTTTCGATGGTTAAGATAATTTTTGCTTGGCGTGATTTTTTGCATCGAAGATGTTTTTGTTGGGATTTCAAAACTTTTTGTAAGTATCATTTAATGCCATGATTGAGTAATGAATCAGCTACGAAGCATATCTCTATCAGATCTATATTCTTATGAATTTCATATTTAAACAGTCGGATCATGTCCCGCGTACAACATTTTAATAAGTTAAATTAAATAAAAAATAAATGAAATAAGTTAATAAAGAAAATAAAAAATATATGTTTAAACAAACATAATAGTATCAAAGAATATAAAAAATTACTGGAAACAGTTACAAACAGAACTACCATAAAAAATTAAAAACTTTAAAAAGTTTTTGAGTGTATAAAGTATCCACAATTATATATCGACGATTCAACATAATTGATATTATTGTTAAGTTTCATGCGAATCTGTAAAGAATTATGAGCTCCACGTCTACCTAAAAGTAAAGCAAAAAATTTTTTCATACAAAATTGGAAATTTTTAAAAAATTTTGAGTGTATTGAAATTTCCTGAAATGTATATCAAGATTATAACCTACTTAATATTATTTGTAAGTTTCATGCAAATCCGTTAAACTGTGTAGGCAGCAAGCGTGGCTAAAAATAAAAAAATTTTGAGCTTTCATAATTCTTTGGGAATCCTCCCATTTTCACAACATAAATTATTTTATTTTTACATTTTTTACCCAACCAAAAAAGTTTGAACGCAATCGGTAAAGAACTTTTCGAAATATTTAATTTTGCTTTAAAAATGCTAATTTTTGAGAAAATATATTCGCGGAAAATTTTTTTCTTACTTGGCGTCGATTTGCTGCCGCGAATCTTGACTATTGCATTAAAACTTTATAAAATGTAAATAAAATGTCAGAGAAGAAAAGGAATAAATGTAAAAATGTTCGAAAACTTAATAAATTAATGTATTTTTGTAATAAAAAATTGTTTACAAAAAATTTGTAGTTATTTATTAAAAAGTGAAAAAAAATGTTTTAAAATAATGTTCCTGTAAATAAATTTTTAAAAATGTCTTTTAGATCATATACATTTTCCTGTACAAGTTCTTTTCCATGAAATTGTACAATTTCTGATAAAATTTCTTGTACAAGATATTTTACAAGATCTTGTACAAGAACTTGTACGAGTATAATTTTTCTCTTCTTAAAGTACATGTTCTTGTAGAATTTCTTGTATGAGATCTTGTACTAGAACTTGTACACGATATCAAACTACATAAATCCTGTACAAGATCTCGTACAATTTATGGAACAACTTTTTTCCCCTCTTTGATAGGAACATGTGAACATGTACAAGAACTTGTACTGGAACTTCTGTTGAAGCAATGGTGGACTAAAAATCTTGTACAGTTTCCCGTACAGGATTTTTTTTCTTGTACAATATATTGCACAAGATCATGTACGAGATCTTGTTTCAATTTGGTATGCGAGAAATGGTACAAGTTCTGCTGCTGAACATGTACATTTTCTTGTACAAGATCTTGTACAGGGATTTTCAGTAGGGTAGCGATTGATTTGGGTATTAAACAGGGTGAAATGAGAATAGTAAGAAAATTATTAGAATTTTTGTCACTGAAAGTAGTAACCGAAACTAAACAATTTTTATAAGTCAACCATTAAATGCATACTTTGAGTACCATAATGTTTCATTTCCTTCTATCAGAATTTTGGTAACTAGCGATTATTAAATTAATTAACAGTAAGTATTATTGAGAAGAAATATAACGTATTAAGAAAATTTGTCTCATGGAAAGTGGTAGCAGTCTATAAACAATTTGCTTATTCAACAAGTAAATGCATATTTTGAGTACCATCAATGTTTCTTTTCCTTCTGTCAGAATTTCAGTAACTGGCTATTGATTAGGGAATTTAACAGGGTAAAATGATTTTGGATAGAAGATTATTAGAATTTTTGTTACTAGAAGTAGTAGCCGAATATAAACAATTTATATATGTCAACAATTAAATGCATCCTTTGGGTACCACCACTTTTTCTTTTGCTTTTGTCAGAATTTCAGTTTCTGGCTATTGATTCGGGTTATAAACAGGGTGAAATGAATTTAATGTATTAAGAAAATTTTTCTCATGGAAAGTGGTAGCAGTCTATAATCAATTTGCTTATTCAAGAAGTAAATGCATACTTTGTGTACCATCAATGTTTCCTTTCCTTCTGTCAGAATTTCAGTAACTGGCTATTGATTAGTGTATTAAACAGGGTGAAATGAATATGATAAGAAAATTTTTAAAATTTCTGTTACTGAAAGTAGTAACCGTATATAATCAATTTTTATAAGTCAATCATTAAATGCATACTTTGAGTACTATAATGTTTCATTTCCTTCTATCTGAATTTTGGTAACTAGCGATTATTAAATTAATTAACAGTAAGTAATAATGAGAAGGATTATAACGTATTATGAATTTAAGCGGTTTAACATAAAAGACTTGTGAAAAAAGGAGAATAAGATAGTTAATGTAAAATTAACACTGAATTTATTAGCTTATTTGAGATAAAACAGGTAAAGCGATTTTTACAGAGCGGTTGTACATGATGCGTACGAAAGACAATCAGAATATATATTATGCGCAGATACCACTGCATACGACGCACTTAAGTTGTCCCTCTGCGGGCAAACTAAGGAATCATCCTTGATTTAAAAAAAATCCGCGAAATAAAATTTAAAATAAAAGTAAATTAAATGCGATGAAATCGTAAACATACCGCCCACCTTGCGAGCTTATTTTTAAGATTGCAATGGTCACAATAGAACAAAAGGTACGAACTTAAAACAACATCGTTAATTTTCAAATTAACTCGCTCAGACAACCACTTTGTTCGCTGTTGCAGTGACTGTAAATAATCTCTGGACCATGAGCGCCAAAACTGTTCTAAGACACGTTGATAAAACTGCCAACGCGACAAGTGGTTCTCAGGTAGATCCAGAACAGATATCGCAGGTACAGTTTTTAACGCAGATCCGATTAAAAAATGTCCAGGAGTTAATGCTTCGCAACTCTCTGGATCTTCGTTTAGTTGATCAATAGGTCGAGAATTTAAGCAGCATTCGATTTGACAAAGTAAAGTCGTTAATTCTTCGGAAGTCGGAGGAGCGTTTGACAATAATCTACGCAAATGAAATTTTACATTTTTCACGCCAGCTTCCCACAGACCTCCAAAATGCGGCGCAGACGGAGGCATGAAGTGACACGTGATTCCGTCTGAGGCCATGTGAGAAGCAATCGTCGGATCTTTCATAATGAACTTAAATGTATGTGACAATTCGCGATGAGCACCGCAAAAATTTGTGCCATTGTCACTATAAATATCTGTTGGTAAACCCCGATGTGAGGTAAAGCGTCTCAATGCTGCGAGAAAAGCAACTGACGTATAATCGTCAACAAGCTCCAAATGTATGGCTTTAACAGAAAAACAAACAAAAACAGCGATCCAAGCCTTATGTGACTTGGCTCCGCGACCCGAACTAGAGCGGACCAAAAATAGACCCGCGTAATCAATTCCGGTATGAGAGAAAGGACGAGAAGGAGATATTCTAGCACTAGGTAAATCTCCCATAAGTTGGTTTTCAACACGCGCCTTGTCTCTCACGCAAGTGACACATTTCCTGATAATTCCTTTAATGAGATTTCGCGCACCAATAATCCAATATTGAGTTCGAGCCATATAAAGAGTCAACTGAACTCCCCCGTGTAATAAATTTTTGTGCAATTGTGTCAAAATTAAAAAGGAAATCGGATGATTAGGTAGAATAGCTGGTGGGTTTTTGTAAGTCAATAACTTGGACTGGCGTAGTCGTCCGCCCAATCTAAGGATATCTTTGTCATCGAGAAAGGGTGAGAACTTTTGTATGCGAGAACTTGAAGGAATTGGTTTTCCTTCCTTAAGACACTGAATTTCGTGAGCAAAAGAATTTTCTTGAACGTATTTAACCCAAAATAAAGCGGCATTGTTGATTTCGGTAGCCGTCACTTGATTCGAAAACAAAATTTGGCGTTTAAAGGCTTGAATAGCTCGTAAAATGTGAGCAGTCACACGCAATAAATGTGCCCAAGATGAATAGTTAGACATCAGTTGTGATTGCCAATCAGGTTCGAGGTTATTGTTGATCAGATGAGAAACTATACGAGACTCTTCGGTAGTTTCCAGACCACAATTTCATCGAGGCCATGTCTCCGGTGAATCTCGCAGCCAAGTGGGACCCTCCCACCAAAGGGAAAAGGTTGACAAGTCCTCCGCTGAGAGGCCACGTGAGGCACAATCTGGGAACAATTGTAGAGTCTGTCCAGCAAAAAACTTGAGAATTCATTAAACCGAGAGAATCAATAACAAAATGAATTAATTTAGACAAAAGGCTTGCGGCACATAATTCGAGTCGTGGGTCCGGAAGGTTGACGGGCCCAGGTATAACCGCAGGTCCGGAGTTCTATTAGGCGTGATGAATCTCCCAATAATGAGTCTCTTCCAAATAAAGGAAGAATAGATAATGGCCCAATGTAATAAGAAGTAATGATCCTCGTTTAATGTAGAGGGTTTTGACACTTGATTTTCACTTTCGTATAAGAGAATTATAAACTTGAACTAGAAGACGTCGACTGGTACCAAGAATGAGGTTGATGTTATACGTATGAAGATGATTTGAGAACTGATCTCTCCATGAAAATGTAGTCCTTTTATACTGAGTTTTCGTAAGAGAATAGATAAATTTTATTAGTCGTACTATATATTTTTCACCCTTATTTTGGAAGCCAAAGTTGAGTCCTTCTCTCTCAGTTGAACGTAAAAAAGGGAGGTGTGAACCATTCTAATACAAGATAGAAAGAGCACAACTACGGTTATTCGCAGCTGTACAAGAGCGTTTATGGTCTTCTAATGTAGTGATACCACAGGGGTTCGTCGCATAGGAAAATTGGAAAGAGAGCATTTATTACATCGTCTGATTTTAGCACATAGGGAAAATTAGAAAGAGATCATTTTGTTTTGTGGGGGTGTGAGCTCTTCTAGTGTCATAAAAGATTTCTCGCTTCTATTTGTATGTTTTAGAAATACAGTATATAGACGTAGAAGGATACAAAACGCAGGGGTCTTTTTATATATAAAAGAACGATGTTTAGTTGCGCAACAAAAGGGCGGAAATTGAACATTTAAGAGAAAAGTATTTAGATGCGTAACAAAAACACGGGTGTTTGTCGCAGAGACATACAATTCGGTATTGATTAAAAGAATTCTTATAATTATGAATGTAAAAGTTACGGTGACGTGACACGTTATAAGCAGCACAATGTATCAAGAGATAATTGAGGAACGTCACTCACAAGAACGCTGTATTACTTTACAGTTTTGTTTTGATGGTGTTAAAGTAGGCAAATCTTCCTCTGTATCAATGTGGCCTGGGCAAATAACTATAAACGAATTGCCTTATCAATCAAGGAAAGACAATATAATTTTATGTTCTTTATGGTATGGAACAGAAAACCCCAATATAATGTTTATTTGTCATTATTTGTAGATCAGCTTACAGAACTTCACGAAAATGGCTTCACTTGTGAAACTCCGGAAGGAATTCAAACCATAAAAGTTCATACATTTTTATCAACTGTTGATTCAGTTGCACGACCTTTGCTTCAAAATATTAAACAATATAATGGCGAGTATGGTTGTTCTTTTTGCCTCCATAAAGGTACAAGAATTGCTGTTGGTAAAGGATTTGCACGTATTTATAAAGGATCACCTGCAGTTAACCGTACAGAGAAGCAACATTACAATGCTTGCAAAAAAGCAGCAATAAAAGGAAAACCATTTCAAGGAGTAAAAGATTTTTCCACGTTAATGCTATTACCTTTATTCAACATCATTTCTTCTTTTGTTCCAGACTACTTGCACTGTGTACTCTTAGGCGTGGTTAAAACAATGGTTAACGCTTTATTAGATTCAAAAAATAATGAAAAAAATTGGTATCTTGGCAGAAAAATAGATTTAATAGATGATGTACTACAAAATATTAAACCGCCTTCTGAGATAACAAGAACACCTAGATCTTTACATGATAGAGCTATTTGGAAAGCCTCAGAGTGGAAAAATTTTTTACTTTACTATTCTTTGCCATGTTTTAAACGATATCTTCCGGAAATTTATTTTAAACATTGGTTCTTGTTAGTTTTAAGCATGAACATTTTTTTAAAAAAGAAAATAAATGATACAGATTTTGTAACAGCTGAAAGTGCATTAAGGGAATATGTTTCAAAAGTACAGAATTTATACGGTGAAGAGTATATGAAGTTTAATATGCATTTACTGTATCACATTCCACAATCTGTATTGAACCATGGTGCTTTGTGGGCAACGTCCACCTTTCCATTTGAACATTATAATGGAATTCTAGCGAAATTATTTAAAAGTTCCCAAGCAATACCTTTAGAAATTTCTAAATCATACTTGCGTTTAAAAAAAATTCAAAAAGCTGGACACGTTTTTTCAAACAGAGAATGTTCTTTAACAGGTAAGCAATTATTTAATAGAATATTAGGAAATTTAAAAACTAAGCATTGTATTGAATATGGACCATTTCTTAGAGTTTTTGGTTTACCCGTGGACATTAATTTATCATTGGTGCAAAAAGTGTGCATTGAAACATTAATAGAAAAACCTGTTGCAACATTATCACAAAAATATGACCGATTTATATATAAAAATAACTTATACCACTCATGTGATTATTCAAGAAATTACAAAAGAAATAATAGTACTATTCAAACAATTGATGGAAAATTTATTTCAATAATTGGTATTTTTAACGTATTCTCTGGAGAAGATAACTATGTTATACTAGGAAAAATATATAAACAAGTAGAACGTATGGAAGTTTGTCAAAGTGGTTTCTTTTCATCTGCCAAATTTTGTCATGTCGTCGAATTGCATGAGGAAATTGTAGCTCTTCGTCCTAACATGATTTCTTCTAAATGTGTTATTATACCTTTGGACACAAATAGATTTTATGTTTTTTTATTAGTAAATGATCTCGAGCGTGATTAGAATTAAAATAATTTTTTTATTTAAATATAATTTAACATAATTTGTACGTATCACAGAAAAAATCGATTTCATTAAAATGAAAGGGTAAGGGTAAGTGCAACATGTAAAATGTAAACAAACATGAAAATGTAAGAACACGTGTAAGAAATTAATTGTAATTGTTATTTCGTTTACTCATGTTTTTAAGTATAATATTCAATAATTTAAAATATTTTAAAATTTCACAAACAATTTTTATTTAAATAATTTCTTGCGATTGCTCAATTTAAACAGTGAGACATTAAACATTAGGACAGACAAAAATTTAAGTTTATGAAACGTGAATTTTGGCAACACTGATTATAAGTTGTGTCAGCTATACGCTTGCGCATTTATACTCACAGCGACTAAAAATGTCCTTTTTTATGCTAAAAAACAATTTAAAAAATTCAAAATTTATAGGAATAATTATTACAATTATTGTTCGACATCATTTAAAAAGTAACACTTGATAAAAGAACGACTATTCAAATTTGTTAACGTTACTTAATGCAAAAAATATTATTCGGGTCTTAATAATGGGTGTCCCACTGTTAAACACAAACCTTCAAAACAATAAAAATGTATCAAGTTTTAAAAACTTCAAATTTTTTATTTAATCACAATATAATCTTAAAAGAATATGTGCATTGTGTAGAAAAGAGTTCAAACTTTATGGTAATACCAAAAGGTGTTCAAAAATATATAAAATTGACATATTAATATGTCTTTGAAAAGAAAATGTCCCACTGTTTGTAACTCTCCCCTACATTAATCGATTCGTTTTCATGCCAGGAATATAATTTTGACAAGAATTAATAAAAATTTCTAAAAATTTATTTCAAAAAATACAAAAAAATATTATTTTCAAAATTCAAAAAATGATTTAATCTATAGATTTCAGTAAAGTATGAACTTTATATAGGGGGTAAAATTCCTGTAGCGGACTAAGTGAAAAAAAGTTGAACGGATCGGACTGTAACTTGCACATAGTTTACCCCTAGAGGTAGGTAATTTAACCACGAAGTACTGTTAGGTTTTTTCAAAAACTGTCGGAGAGGGGGGGGTTGAATTTTTTTGAACAATTTAAACTGTAAATTTTTGAAGACTTGTAACTTTTAAACAGAAAGAAGAAAAAACAAGTTGTAAATTCAGATGTTCATTACATGAACATTTTGTTTCCTCTTTACAATCAGCAAAAAAATTTGCTTCCTCGTGGAGAAAGCATTAACATTGAAATAAACATACAAAAATAATATAATAATATAACACAGAAAAAAAATGTACTCAAAATGAGTACGAAATCATACTCATTTTGATATGCAGCAAAAATGATAACGCTCTTATTCATTTTGAGTTTTCAGTGAAAAAATATCAAAATGAACAACGTCAGTTTCATTTTGAGTAAATGTTTAACTATGAATTATAGATAAGTAACAAATGATTATTTAATTTAAAATAGTACTAAAACAATTGTTTTTCATAAATAAACACTTTTAAACTAAAAAGGCTTTAATTCTTAAAGTCAATTTATTATTATTTATAAAATAAAATATATCAAGTTTTAGGTTAAGAAACATATGAAATGACTGGCAGTAATACCAACTGCGTTAACATGAAGTAGAGAAAGAAAGCGCTATTGTCAAAAAACCAAAGGTAATGGCGCCTTATTTAAAAAATTTAAAAGTAAAATATTGTTTACGAAACAAAATGATATTGTGTTAAATTTTTTTCACATTAATTAATAAATAAAAAAAATTATCTTTAAAAATTTTAACAAATAAATTTTAATTCTTAAAATCACTGTTTTGTGATCAATAAACTAATAAAAAATTATAAATTAAATATATGTGATTGATGTAGTTTTTCATTGGATCTATAATTTTTAGTAGAAGTTTTTCTTTTTTTATTTGAAAAAAATCCATCGTCAATGGAGGAAAAGCTTTGCTTTTTTTGTAATAAACGAAATGATTATTTTAAAATATTATAATATTATAAAATTGAGTTTTTATTATTTAAAA